GTCCCACATCTCCTTTATCCATTCCTCTGCTGATGGACATTTAGGTTGCTTCCATGTCTTGTCTATTGTAAACAGTGCTGCAGTGAACATTGGGGTGCATGTATCCTTTCGGACCATGTTTTTTCCAGATATAAGCCCAGGAGTGGGATTGCAGGATCATATGGTAGCTCTATTTTTAGTTTTTTTAAGGAACCTCCATACTGTTTTCCATATTGGCTGTACCAATTTACATTCCCACCAACAGTGTAGGAGGGAGGGTTCCCTTCTCTCCACATCCTCTCCAGCATTTGTTGTTTGTGGATTTTCTGATGATGGCCATTCTGACTGGTGTGAGGTGATATCTCATTGTAGCTTTGATTTGCATTTCTCTAATACTTAGCAGTGTTGAACATCTTTTCATGTGCTTCTTGACCATCTGTATGTAAGAGCATGGACTTTTGAGTCAGATTGTGTGGGCTCAAATCCCTGTGTGGTCTCTTACTAGAAGGATGATCTTGAGCAAGTGTCTTAACACTTGGTGCCTCCATTTTCTGATCTGTAAAGTGGGAATAATAACAGTACCTACTGGGAATTCCCTGGTGGTCCAGTGGTTAGGGATGTGTGCTTCCACTGCAGGGGGAACGGGTTCCATCTCTGGTCAGGGAACTAAGATACTGCATGCCGTGCAGCGCAGCCTAAAAATAAAAATAACAGTATCTACCTAAGTAGATTAAGAAGGTTCATATATGTAAAGCACCTGATACGCTTAGGACAGTTCCTGGCCCATGTAAGGATTAACTGTTATTATTGTAGTTGTTACTTTTATTAGAAATACTGTGTAAAATGTCATTTTTATGGCTGCGTAAAGCTTGATTCATGAATCTACCATAATTTGTCTAATCATTTCCTTTTCTTGGCTATTAACTTCATTTCTAATTTTTTTAATCTCATATATAACCCTGCCATGGATATCTTTGAGCATTAAGTTTTGTCCCCATTTCAGATTCATTCCCTAGTGTAGAGGTCTGAAAATGGAATTACAACATTAAAGGGTGCATACAATTTTAAGCCATTTAATAAGAATTTGTCAAATTGCTTCCAGGAAGATTGTGCCTGTTACACTCCTACCAGTAGTTGAATGATGAGAGTGTCCGCTTTGCTGTGGCCAGACCTGCATCAAGTGTTATCATTTTAAACATTCTCTGGTATTTTGACATGGTCTGCCCCTTAAGGCTGAAATGTAACATAGCAAAAGGAGTCAACATCGTAGTTCCTTTGATAAGGAGTGTTCTTGCAAGGCAAGAAAACTTCTAATGAGAAATGAAATCCTTGTTTTGTCAAATTTCCAAGTGCTGCCTCCATCCTGTTATGAAGCCTGGAAACTTCCTGAGTGTTTTCTGAGGTTACAGGGCAGGATGTTGCGGGAGAGGATATGTCAGCAGCAGGACAGGTACACAAGGATTTTAATAAACCAGTTTTGTTTCCGTTCTCAAAGTTGGACATTGAAAACTCTGAGCATTTGATGGGATGAGGGAGGCACACTTGAACAAAAAACCCTGATAAATTTAATCACTTTACAACTGAAGCCATTTGAGGGACGGGAGGATGGGGCAGGGAGGGAGCGGCTCCTGCACTGCCTGCAAGGTAAGGTGGGAGACCAGCCTTGGGAAGGGCTGAGGGAACAGTGTGCACCTGCCCCTCACCGCCCTGCCACCCGGCAGCCTCCTTTCCTTTACCAGGGGTGTCCGTTGCCGTCTGGTCTTGCCCGGGCTCCTGGGCTGCAGAGGAAGAGCTGGGGTCACAACTGAGTGAGAGGCAGGGCAGCGTTTTTTTTTCTCCAGCAGTGAACTGATATGAGTGTACAACAGGTACAACTGGTCACGCATGAATTCCACAGTATCTAAAGCAGTTGTAGTCGGCGGTATGGTGGCCCCAAAGATGGGTTTTGCTCTTTACATTTTCTTATATTATTGTTGTATATTTAAATTTGGTTCTAATATGCTGTTGAATTCGGTTTGCTAGTATCTTGTTGAGTATTTGATCAGAACTCTTGAGAATGAGGAGCTTTTACACTGGCTTCATTTACTCTTTTATGTGTGTCCCTACTCATATCAGGGCCCTGGAAGGCAGGAATTGAGAAGCAGCTTATGTATTTTGTATACCTGTGTTAGAAAACGTAGTATATCCTGTTGCTCCCTCCCTCCAGGGTGATCTCCCTTAAACCACATCATTATGTTGCCTTGGCAACTGCTATTTGCTATGCTTTTCTTTTCAGAAAAAGTTGTATAACCTTTTCCAAATAAGGTCCAAGTAATGTGACCTTATTTGGAAAAACGGTCTTTGTAGATGTAATTAAGATAAGGATTTTTTTTTAAAAGAAATTAAGATTTTATTCTAATGAGAGCCCACCAAGATTTCTACCCAAGGAGTGACATGATTTAATTAACATTGCTTAAATCTTGTTGTCCTTTCTTTTTTTTTTTTGGCCCTGCCATGCGGCATGTGGGATCTTAGTTCCCTGACCAGGGATGGAACCCGTGCCCCCTGCAGTGGAAGCTTGGAGTCTTAAGCACTGGACTGCCAGGGAAGTCCCAAGATAAGGATTTTTGAGATGAAGTCATCTTGGATGACTTCTCTAGTGGGCCCTAAATGCAATGACAAGTGTCCTTATAACAGAGAGGAAGAAAGAGATTTTACACACACACACACATGCACACACGCACACACACACAGAGAAGGCAGTGAAGCAGAGGAGTGATGTGGCCCCAAGCCAAGGAAAGCCAGCAGACACCAGAAGCTGGAAGAGACGGAGCATTTTCTTCTTCCCTAGAGTCTCTGGAGGGAGTGTGGCCCTGCCGACGCCTTGATTTCAGGCTTCTGACCCCCAGAACTGTGACAGAATAAATTTCTTTTGTGTTATGCCACCCAGTTTGTGGTAATTTATTATGGCATCTGCAGGAAACTTGTACACCAGTCTGTGCTCTGTTCAACAAGACAGTTCCACTGATTGTGTGCTTGGCTGTGTAGCAATGTCGTAAGCAGTAAAAGCTTCAAAGCTGCCCTTAATTTCTGTACTTATTGTGAGCCAACAGCAAAGAGGTGGTGGATGGCACTGGTTTGCAGACCACCCTCTGAGTGCCACAGGTCCTGTCTCCCTCCCTGGTTTTGTGGACAAGGAAACTGAGGCCCGGAGGGGAGAAAGTGGGGCTGAGTTTAGAGCACAGGTGCCTCTGCTGCTGGGAATGGACAGATAGGATGTGGCACCAGCCTCCCGGGGGCCAGGTCTGGGGTGAGCGGACAGGATTGCTGCCCTTCAGCCTGTCCTGCAGGCCCGCTGGTGTCCCTGTCGCTGTTCTGCACCCTGCAGAGTGAAAGTTGATGCTCCAGTGAGCCCCTGGAGCACTGAGCTGCCTAGAAGGCCCAGAAGCCAGGAGATACTTGTGAAGCCTTTGCTGCAGCTAATGAGCCGAGAGTAGCAGGGAAAGCACCCTGTCAAGGGTAGAAGTCACAGCTTGCTGTCGACTTAATTTCTAGCTGACTGCTTTAGTCTTTGTGGTTTGGGTCATATTTTCTCTCTGTAGCCCAATTTTAACATTCCACATTTTCGGAGGGGTAATTATCTCTTAGAGAATATGGGATTAGACTACAGTCATCTTGACTCTTAATGCTGCTTGAATAAAGTCCGTCCAACTTAACCTGGCATTCAGACCCCCTGAAGACCCTTCTACTCTCCAGCCCTGCCTCCCAGCCCTCTGTTTCACACACCCTCATCTTTGAACTTCACAAAAACCATGCTCCCTAGTAGAGGGGACTAGAAGGTGTTAAGAGTCTTGGTGCCCTACAGTAGGTGAGTTCATGGTTGACCAACTCAAGAACCAATGGAAAAGTAGGTCAAGGGGTTAGAGGGCATAAATCTTTCAAGATCTCAGGGGAAAAAAATGTTCACATTTACTAAAGTAGACTCTAAAGGCAGCGCAAACAGCTAGTACCAGTCACTAGCATATGAGCTAAGTCATCTGGTCTACCATCCGGCTCTGTTGAGCCACCACATGACTGTAGCCACATGAGTAAACCAGAAGAAAAACCACCCTGCTGAGCCCAGCACTAATTGCTGACACACAAACCATGAGTAAATAAAATGTTGATTGTTTAAGACAAAAAAAAGCACAGTGCAGTAAATCAAGACTTATCCTTGAGTTATTACATTTCTCTTTTTAGTAATGATAGGCATTGTATAGTTACTCAATTATTCCTTACTTGCTATAGACACTTTCAGAGTCTCCCACCTTTGTATTTCATTGAAATTCTTATTTTGTTTTGTTATGGATAGTACCCATATTAAGAGCCCCTTTCCCCCAGTATCTGGGTCTCTATCTTAATATTTAATACTGCTGGGATTTTATGAATTATTTGTTGGATCTACTCTCTGGGTTTCCCACATCTCTCTCTTCCTTTCCTCTCAGGTATTATGGGACAGTAGTTCAGAGGCCCAGGTCACTCCCTCTCATCTTTTATTTTTCCCAAGGCTTTGTTTCAGAAGCCTTTATTTCTTCACCCTCTGCTTGTGTTTGTTTTTTTAGTCCCAACCCTGGATCTCTTATTTTTAAATAAGTAATTTTTGTTTGCAAGGAACAGAAATGCTCTCATGCCAGCTGTAGTTAGCAGAGGGTCTGTTGCAGGAATCTCAGGAATGCAGGGAGCAGGCTGGAGCAGGAAGGCTCCTCTAGTTCAGGGGCTGTGCGGTCCTGTTCATCTCGTGCGTGTGTGTGTGTGTGTGTGTGTGTGTGTGTGTGTGTTTCTCTGGATCAGGGCTCACTGCTGCCTGCCTAAGTTTGCATGTCTTTATTCTCAAATGAGGAAAGAAGGAAGGGAGGGAGGCAGTGTGGCTGCTGCAACACGCCAGTCCCTCGGGGGAGGGGGGTGACTGACGCGAACGGACTTGGCGCGGGTGTCGCAAAAAAGAGGTCTGTGGAGGGTAGTCCCACCAAACCTATTATACCTCTTTTCTGATTTCTCAACAGGAATAACCCAAGTCACCTTTCCTGGAAATCAGTTTGCTGAAACTATTGAAACAGCAGTTCTTGAAGAAAAGGTAAATAGAAGTGAATTTGTGTCCTACTAAAATTCTCTTAAGAGGGAAACCATGTTTGGAGGGTTGACCATCCCTGTCGTTCCTTAAACACACCCAGTTCTGTGTGTATTATTTTACCTTCCTCTGCCTGGCCAAGTTCCTAGTCATCCCTCAAGGCCTTTATCAAGTACTGCCTGCTTCTGAACCCCACAATACTCCTTCTTACTGACACGATCCCAACGGGCTTTACGTTACCATTCGTGCCCCTCCTCTGACTGTTCTCTTGTGGCTGTATGGAATGTAGGCGCTCCTTCTCTGTGACCCCCACCCCGTCGTAGCACTTCCACACTTGATTGTAGTTGCCTGTTTTCCGCAGTTACTTCCCCGAGACATATCTGAATTGGGCCTTGGACATAGTAGATGGTCCATAAACGTTTATTGAATTCACAGTGAATTGGCCTCCACTCTAGACGGTCAGCTCCCATGCGGATTCACTTTGTACCTCCACCACTACATCCTTGTAGGGTCTGTACTATAAATCCTTCTCAAATCGATTCTGTTCTTTGAGCATGCATCAGAAATTGTTAATCTTCTCTAGTTGTCCTTTGTGTTTTGGCTGGTGGTGAAATGAAGCAAAGCTTTTATATCTAGTTTTTATTTTTCATGGGCAATTTGGGTCTATGTAAAGAGGAGTAATTCAGAAGTGGGAGGGGAAGGGAGGTGACAGGCCGGTCAGGGAACCAGTGACGGTGGGAGCATGGCTCCCCACCCTGCCTCTGCCTCCCTGTGGTTGAATGGGATTACTCGAGGTGGGGTTTGGTCATGCCCCTCTTGTCTGCTGGATGGCAGATGCCCTCCCCCATCCATCCATCCATCTATCCATCCATCCATCCATCCATCCATCCATCCATCCATCCATCCATCCATCCGTATGATCTTCCGAGCGACCTCAATCAACAGACAGTTGCATCTGAACCCACCTCCCTGCTCCAAACCTTTTTTGCTTTAAATCATTGAGTCAGCGGATTCCTTTTCTCACCTGCTTTTACTGCACCTGCTGAATATCCTGAAGACGTTCCTCACTAATGTAGGAATGTCATGTAATGTTATCTGTTTTGTTGGTCACCATCCTCTTAAGGGGACTTGTCCCAGCCTTTCCTACCTGACAGTAACCAGCAGTTGTCTCTTCCATTTGAGGAGTTCTTCTCCTTTTAGAGGGTGCTTCTACACACAGCACCAGAGTTTCTTCTCCTACCAATTCTAGGAAACAGGCAGGGGCAAACGTAACTTCCCATTTCAGTAAACAGGTTCAGAGCAGCTAGGCGTCCTGCGTGAAGCCACGTCGCCAATGCGAATGGCGTCTGGTTTTCCTCTCCCCTGCGCCACCTTGCGCATTCCCCTTGGAAGCAGCCGCTGCTGTCACAGAACCCAGGGGCTCTGTCTCACCCACTCCAGTGTTCCTCTCAGTGGGGGGAGCTTCGGCCTGCTGTGGAGAGATGCCGTCTGACCCTGGTGTTTCCTCTACCGCCAGCCAGGCCGCTTTCTTGAAAAAGTAGGTCTCTTCCTCCCGAGACCTTCCAATCAGTCTTATAAGTTTTATTTTGGTTGGGGTTTATTTAAATGCAGGAACTTTTAATTAGTTTACGTGAATGCTGTGCTGTCTTACTCTAGGAAGACATAGGAAGACGCTCACAGGGGCTAGAGCAGCTTAATCTAGCTGTATCTAATGATCTTCTTCCCTTGCCTTCTCCTGTAAATAATTGCAGATGGTACCATCATTCAAGGTGGCAGAGCACACTGCTTTATTGCCATGTAGAATTGTTTAGTTAAATGTGATTTTTTAAAAAAATGGCTCAACTTTTAATTAGAAAGCAGATTGTCAAAGAGATTGGAAAATAGACCCATCATGATAGGAAACCAGGTTCCGGTCCAGAAGGAAGCATGTTAACTTAAGAGCAGGATGTGATTTCAGTGAGTCATTGTTTTCCTAAAATAGGCCGTCTTCTCCGGTGTTTTTTTGAGAGAGAGACCTTCCTCTACATCTGTACCGCCTTAGATTAACATTTTCCTGGGGGAGAGTCTACTTGGAATCCCCCGAACAGGGTGGTACAACCCAGCAGCAGAACTGTCAGGGCACAGGGCTAGATACCGAAACCCTTCTACCGGGACTCCTCGAAAACATCAGTGTCAAGAAATCAGCAGACCCGTTATGATGCTTGTAATTGAAGAATCATCAGGCTACATACTTTACTTCCCATTGTGGTGTGATGCAAATCCCATTTTACTGTCAACAGCACTGTTTTCTTAGCCCCAAAGCTGGTGGTATCTGCTTTACTACTGGAGATCATCTTAGAAGCAGCTTGCGCATGTCCTGGCCGAGTTTGGCCCCGTGAGCTCCCTGTGTGGTGCACCACCCCACCTTGAGCTGGCACAGTGGTGGACACACGAGCACCCCGAGAGGAAGGCGGGAAGGGTCACCTGTGAGAACGGCCCCAGGCGTCCATCACTCCTCACAACTCCTCTGTGCTTTGTACCTCCTTTTATACCTTTGATAGCAGCTAGTGAACTTGGATAGGTCATGGGCACCTCGATTTCAACTCTTGCTCTCCTATCACAGACCCTTTCCAGACCTCCCTTCCCCCCATTTCATTAAGGTGCACAGCTGTTAATTCACTTTCTCAAGCCAGAAACTGGGGAGTCGTCTGTTATCGCTCACCTTTCTCTTCCTCCAAATCACCAAGTCCTAGTGGTGCTTCTGAAGCAGATCTTGAATTCTTCTGGCTGCCCTTCCACATCCGTCTCCCAAGTCCAGTGACATCGTCATTTGCCTGAGTCACTGCAAAGGCCTTTGAACGGTTGCCCTGCTTCCACTTTCCCTCCATTCTGCTCACCACGTTGGACCCAGGGGATCTTTAACAATGCTTGTCATATCATTTCACTCCCTTGCTCAAAGCTGTCAGTGACCTCCTCCCACACTGGGATGGATCCCATGTGCCCAGCATGGCCCACAGAGGGGACTGTGCGATATGGGCTCCGGGCCTGGCTGGAGATCCCACAGCATTGTTGCCATCATGTTGAAGTAACTTGTGAGATGCTTTGCCCTTTCACTTTTGACTTCCTCGGCAGATCGCAGTGACTGATTTTCCAAGTCACGTTCCATGCAGTGGAATGCTCCTGGGGGACTTTACACTGGGGAGATCCTGGACGTTTGATTTTACAGTAGGGATTCTGTAGGCTGGGTCTCTACTTCTGAGGCTCCCTCCTGGATGGCAATGATCTGATTCAGACATGCAAGTCCTTTCATCAATTCCCACAGGTGTGGGGCTCAAAATTCCACAGACTCCCAAGTTTAAGGCATGACTGCAGGCTATCTACTAGTAATCACAGGGATGTCATTAAAAGTTACTGGAAAAAACAAAACAAAACAGGGTAATGGTGTGATTTCAAGGATTGAATATGATGCGATGGCCACTGTCTCTAACTTACAAGATGCCTTCCTCCCTCAGAAGAGGCAAAACCCACCTGCATCTAAAGTGGAAGCCCACCAAGGTCAGTCACAGGGTTCTCAACCTCCTAAATAGGGTTCAATGGGTCATCTTCAAAACTACTTCCAATATAAAATAAATGGCAAAGTGCAACTTACTTAAATTTAATGAGAATTTAATACGTAATACTATGTACTGTTTGCTAATGCTGAACTTTTCTATTTTCATGAACTTTCAATAATTCATAAAGTTGTACATAATCTTAAGAATAAATCTGAAGATTAAGGTTATCTTGAATAAATTTCATCTAGATAAAACCACAAAAAAAAAAAAAAAAGAAATGTGATTGATGTTAAATTACAGTCCATCCTCCATGCAGGTTCTGCACTGGGGGATTCAACCAACCATGGATAGAAAATATTTGGAAAAAAAAGTGCCAGAAAGTTCCGAAAAGCAAAAGTTGAATTTGCCACATACCAGCCTATTCACATAGCATTTACGTTGTATTAGGTATTACAAGTAATCTAGAGATGATTTAAAGTATATGGGAGGATGTGCCATAGCTTATATGCAAATACTATGCCATTTTATAGAAGGGACTTGGGTACATGGGGGAGGCGGGGTCCTGGAACCCACCGCCTGCGGATCCCGAAGGACGACCGTACTGCAGGCTGGAGTTTCTGGATGACTGCCTCATCCTCCACTAGGAGTCTGGCTGCCTCGCCACGCACGCAGCGGTGTGTTCCAGGCTCCCATGGAGCGTGGACTTACACAGGCCCTTGGATTTCCCGTAGAATTTGGAAACAGTACCCTAAGAGTGCACTGTCACCACCGTCTTGAATTTGTGACAGTTTTTAATTGCTAGGAATCTAGATGTTTAATTATCAATCACTGTTAGCTTGGCTTTCTCATTATTAGTTTAGCACCATTTGGTTGGTTGTTTACCTTGAAGAGTGAAGTGGTGCATATTTACACCAGGGATGTTTTTTGGCTAACAAGTTTCCAACAACTGGACTTTAAAACATGTGTGAGATTTAAACGAGTCATTCATACCCCTTTCCTGAAGCAGACATGCACCTCTCCTGCATTTGCTTCTACAGTGATTCTTCACAGTTAACTACTGCATATGTTTTGCTGGGAAGGGGAAAGTGTGTGGGGCGGGTCCACACCCATCCACGGGCAGTGATTTTAGAGGGATTTAGAAGTGTTTGTCCTATTTAGGGCTTGGGAAAGCGGTGAGGTAAGGCAGGGAAACACAGGTTAGGCTGTTGCAGAAATCCGCATGAACCAGACGAGGGCCTACTGGTAGTGGGGATGAAGCGGGAGGATGTGCTGGGAGATGTTTAGGAAGAGGGGTTGGTAGGTCTTGGGGGACACTTTGATACAGGGGATGGGGGGGAGGGGAGACATCGAGGAAAACCCCCAAACCTCTGGCTTGGGCACCATTAGCAAGAGGAACAGGCTTAGATCATTCATCAAATACTTACTGAACCCCTGGTGGGGGAGGTGGACAGAAATGATGAACTCTGAAAAGAA